TCCCTCCCCCCTCTCCAGATTGGAGTAGCAGTGACTCTACTCTGAGCCCCTCCTTGATATTGAAGCCTCTCAACTACAGCCTGAGCGAGGGATGGGTGGGGCTTGTCCAGATCCCTGAAACGGCTCATTCTGGAAGGTACTGAAAATTCCAAGATAAAAACCACTGAAACTGCTTCACGTGAGCGGGATTTAGAACAAATAACATCATAACTATATTAAACTTTTATATCTTAAATAAAAGTCACAATAGGTCTTCTTTGAGCACCTTACAAGTTGGAGAAAGAAATCAAGACTCACAATTTAACAGACAGGTGTGGGAATATTTATTTATGATTAAAGTAAAATATTCTATAGTGTTGATTGTGAACACATGACATGCTAACTCCATATTTTTTCATAGAGTCTTCACATTTCTCTACATCACCTTTCAAATCAGTGTGTTTTCACAGTGACTGTTCTGCTTTAGACAAGTGATCATGCTCCAACCTGCTTTGTTTTAATATCAAACCTCTGATTGTTCTGCATGTCCTCTAATGATTCCAGTTTTTTTTTCAGAAGTTCACACCAAAGTGAGTGTGAGGAAAAAGTTAAAAAAGCAGAGTGATAAGCTGCAAGAACAAACAGATCCATCAGAGAAGAACAATAGGAGTGGCCAAACCAGCAGTTTGGTTCATGAGAACAAAAGAAGACTGGTGAGCTCTGGACCATAAAAAGGCCCAAGTGTCCACAGTAGACAACGGTGGTGGATAACCGCAGGATCCTCTTTAGTGTTAAAAAAAACTTCTCCAGGAGACGAGACACGTCCTTGTCCAGACCTAAACTCAAGAAAAGATTTCACAGGCGAGGATAACCCTGCAAAACTTAATGTACTGGTTAGATTTTTCACGTTGTTGGAGAGCTGAATTCAGTTTCACCATCAACACACTGGGTGGATTACTGCAAGTCCTGTAGAGCAGTGGCTCCCCCCAAAAAATGTCAGAGGGGGCCTGGGGAACATTTTGGGGTGGCACACCAAGCTGGTCCTTTTTGGTGACCCTAGGAGAGTTTAGCCTGTAGCTGCACATCATATTGCTCCTTCGGTCGCCTTAGAAAAACAACGTGCGTCCAACACTATTACCTAAAACTTGAGAAACACAAACATTTCAGAAAAATACATGACACACACAGGCATTGGAAATATTATTATTTCAACGTTTGTTTACTTATTTATTTTTTAGAATTTTTGAAGAGTTTACCACATGTTGCTGGCTTTACAAAAACATCCAGAAAACTCTATTTATACTTATTATAAAATGGTGAGCAGCAGCAACCTATAAAGATTTTTTTAAATAATCTGTTTATTTACTCAGTATTTATTTGCCTTTATTGGATTTTACATTTACATCCTGATTAAAGAGAATGAATTTAGGATTTCTTTGAACATGAATGTGATTTATTAAAAGAGGGCCAGCGGGGTGGCTATCAATTTTCTAGGGGTGGCCCCCTTGGGCCCCCTCCTTGGTGACACCACTGCTGTAAAATAAACTCTTCAGAATAATCTGCCCAACAACATAAAGTAGGTTCAAAGATCTCAGAAAGCTACATGTCGTGCCATACTCTAAAATTCCCAAACAAAAGAACCTATAGTATGACATTTAACACACTGCAGATGTAAATTTAAACTGTTGTAAGGCCAAATGATCCAACATCAGCATCATCCCTACAGTCAAACATGGAGGTGGTAGTGTAATGATTGGGGCTGCTTTGGTGCTTCAGGACCTGGACTACTAGCTGTAATTGATGAAACCATGAATTTTGCTCTCTACCAGAAGATCCTGATAGAACACATGCGACCTTTGACATTATGCAGCCCATTCATGCTGGAAAACCCTCCAATCAGGCAAAAAAAAAAAAAAAGGTTTCCAGTCTGTTTTTCTACTTTGTTTACATTCCGTGTTTATCTCCTGACAGCTCATAACATTTATGGCAGCGTTAAAAATTTCACACTTGCCGTCCACGTTTGCACAAGTCGGGTTGCTGAACCAGTGCGTAAATAAAAAAAGAATAGTCCCCTCAGGAAGGGTGTCTGCTGAGCGGAGCCTCCTGCAGGGGTCGTGCGGTTTAAGGGGCCTGTCCGACTGTCACAATTTATGGGCGTCTCTTAGAAAACATGGGGGAGTTGTTCAGCTGTGGCACCAGTTTTTGGCGCTACAGCTGTTTTTACTGTCACGGCCGGAAAGCTCCCCTGGGAGGGGAGAAGAGCGAGACGGAGCGATGAGAACGACGATTTGTCAGATGGCTTTGAGAGCCTGGAGAAACAGAGAGGCGTGCGTGTGTGGCAACTCAAGAATGAAGTTAAAATAAAGACGGCCCAAATAGATCACATCTGGGCTTTTAATGGTCCTGCCACAGGTGAAACTAACATCGCCATTCTGTCGCTTTCTCCTAGCTCAGTCTACCTTAGTGTGGATTCTATTTCCTCTTGTCACGTTAGTTTGTTGGGACCATTATCCTTGTTATTGGCTGCCTCCTAGCCCTTGTAGGCCTCTGCGTGAGCAGATCCAGGGATGGGTTTGTTTTCCTCTGAGCTCCAAATCCCCTTAACTCCAAAGAAATAAAGTGATTTTCTTCCTCTGGAACAAAGTAAGAAGTGTTGCTTCTTTGTCGTGAATGTTTACCCCATCACCCATGTGGAGTGTAACCATGGGCGATGTGCTGTGCCTGGATGCTGATGAACACGTACTCTACATGGTGCAGTAATCCTGTGTGGCCCAATTACGGCGATGCAACGGAGGCGTGGTAATCCGTTGGATCCTTGTGCTTCAGGAAAGTTATCGGAAAAGGTCGAGCACTCCACTTTGATTGCGAGAGGAGCTCAGTCAAGGAGAAAACTAAAGTGTCACTATTGCTTCCTCACATTTGTTACCGTGTTGTGGATTGTTGCAGAGCCTGCTGCCGCGTTATCGACACCGCGGAGACGTACTTTGGCACAGAGCTGGTTTGAGATAAACTTTACGTCACTTCATAATTGTTTTCTTCTGTAGCAGATGCAGGTGGTGTAGCAGACATAACTTCAGCCTGAAAGCTTCACACACACTGGCTATCTTCATGTTCCTCGCCACCGATAACAGAGCTTATGGACACTTCAAGCTTTTATTTTGTCTCTCATCAGAATCATTTTACAAGATGTTGAGATGCAAGTTAGGGGATTACTTTGCCCTCCTTTTATTTTGGTTGATCTAAATTAGCATATTGGCTAAATATTTAGTTTCGAACGGCCACATTTGTGTTTTAAAACTCAAAAATTACTCAGCACGATGTATTTAGATAGAGTTCTAAATATTCAGATTTAACATACAATAATAAAATATTCCACTAAATATTTAAATGTAAAATAAATCTAAAATGATTTGGTTTAACTTTATACGTTTGATTCCAGATCTTCAGATTTATAGTTATATCTCGGGTTTGGTTTCAAATATTTAGATTTAACTTAGATTTGGAGCTTTATACTTACTTAAAATGTGAAATATTCCTAATATTTAGGTTTAACTTTTATATTCAGATTTGATTTCAGATTATTATATTTACATTTATATTTTAGGCGTGATTACAAATATTTATCTTAGATTTGGTGCTTTATACTTGTTTGAATTTGGAAATTATTCAAAATCTTTACATTTAAATTTAATTAAACAATACATGATCTGCACTTGAATAGCACTTTTCTGAGTTAGAGGACTCAAAAGTGTGTTACACTACAGTGAATCGTTCACTAACACACTGGTGGGGATGAGCTACGCTGTTGCCACGGCTACCCTGGGGCACACAAAGGTGAGGCTGCTGAAAACAGGTGCCATCAATGCCTCCTACTACCACCAGCAGACAAAGGAGGCTAAAGTGTCTTGCCCAAGAACATGACTGGCATGACTGCGGGAACCTCAGTTCGAACCTGCAACTCATCAATTACAGGGCAAACTCCTAAGTTCTTTGTATTATTTTATAATCGGCACCCCATACCTGCCATCTGGTTGGCTCAGCTTCTTCTCTTACATGTTTCTCAGTTTGTGCATCCATGTTTTTCATTATTTGGCTTTCCATCTTTGTTTCATGTGTATTCTTATATGAGTAACCAAAGACTTGTGCTGCTGAGCCACAGAAGCATGCAGGATTGTTGTTTTCGTGTAATATTGTAGAAACAACCTCCAAGACAACCCGGTTCTTCTCATAGATTTTCATTGAGCAGCCTGACCTTATGCGACCTCATCAGAATCAGCTTTTAGTTAATCGAGAAGCTTGAACAGATGATTTGTAATGTGGAAAAATATGAACATCTAGACAACTCAGATCATTTATAATAGTGTGGGGGCACAAGAAGTGCTCAATTTGTATGGACCAATCAAAGCTCTGCATGCAAATTAAACGTTCCTCAATAAATCTAATAAAGCACTCATTTTTGAACTGGAGCTAAAAAGACTGATATATATGTAGCTTAATGGAAATCTTAGACAATTTTGCTGTTTTAACTTTCTAAAAAAACACGTAATAAACTAATGAAACTAATCAGGTTAATGTTGGATATCGGAATATTTAAAAACCAAAATAGTTAAATTTCACTTTATTTTCAAATCGTTCAGATGTTTTTCTTGCATCTATTTAGTACATAGCATCTAAAAGTTGAAGTTTAAAGAAGAATATGACTCATGGTGATGCATGTTCTAGATGTTTCTAGTCTAAACATGAAGTCGATTTCAGGCCAAATAATTGTTGGAGAAATTTTGTTTTAAATGAATTTTTCAATGGTGATCCATTGAATAGTTGCACCTGCGTTGCAGGAAGGGTCTGCAGACCAGAGCTCATTTGGATTCACTTCTTGGCAATTTTTTTTATTTAGTGCAGATAAAAAAAATCTTACGAATTTATTCAATAGTTGAGACTTTGGGTGTGAACAAAAGAATAAAAGAGCATCTAATGTGCTTCCATACCTGAAGCCTTGCTGCCACGACGACCACAAAGATCTGTTCTGGTTTTCAAAAAAATATCTTTTTTATTTCACATGAAAACTTTCACATTTATCAAACTCGTCTTTCATATAATCTCTATATATTTACATATACATATGCACATATCTTACACGTTTCTTACACATGTACAAAATCAGGCAACGAGAATCCAGGTTAAAAAAACAGACAAAGATGGCGGTCAGGTCAAACGTGGTTGTGCTCGTCGTTGAAGATGAGATCAGCAACTCTTGTTGGATGCAGCGCCTCGTCTCTAGTGGACTGATGACTTCAATATATCCTTAAATGACCTAAAACTAATTTTTTTTCTCCAAAGAATAATTTCCAACCAGCCCTTCATAGACAGCTCCACCTACAGCAGGGGGCAAACAGACAGAGAGGTCCAGCCTCTCCGCCATACATCTCAGTGTTTGCTTTTGGCAGAAAAGCATTTCGTCCTAACATTCTTCTTTTTTTTTTTTTTCTTAAATCAAACAGATCAGGCACACTCTCTCACATTTTCACGCAAGCACTGCCTCCACCTCCGGAGACGAGAAACGCCGTCGCCGTCAGTAAACATTTCATTTCGTGTGCTCATGTACAGTAAATCCTCTCAGCTGCAAATGTCATAAATTATCTTCACAGAATGTACACGTAAAAAAATGCAATGAAACGTGTGTGTGTGTGTGTGTGTGTGTGTGTGTGTGTAGTAGTGCCACAGTGTGTGAGGAGAACCTGTCGATGCTACATTTAGAGAAATTAATCACTTAAGACACCAAATGCCACTCAGCAACGATGATAACGACACGTCTACGATACTCGAAGGTGGAACAGAGTATGAGTTGATAGGAGGGCTGATCTTTGGCTCAAAACACTGTTGTTCACTGATGCTCGTGTATTCCATCATAGCATTGATTGTTCTTCATCCACTTGAGGTTCTTCTGCAACTTCTTCATGAATCTGAAGCAACGTGTCGTCCTCCGAGAAGTTTATTTAGAATTTTTTTAAGAGCCTAAAAAAAAATACTGAAATCTTTTGGGGGGGATAATGGACAGAGCACCAGTGTTTTGTCTCAAACATGTTGCACCGGTCCGTTTGTACTTTACAAGCTTTGGAAGTTTCTCCCGGTGACCAGCACTGGGTGTTTTTTTTTGAGTCAGTGGTTTCCAACTCCACAGACTGTCTTCATTTTAGTCCCCGAACCAAAAGGGAATCCTCTCAAAGCAACACGAGTAGTAAGGGGACCAACAACGAGAGGATCGAGAGCGACGTGGACGTCACGGCGGCGTCCGTCCGTACGCTCTCGACTTTCGGCAGAACAATAACCGGGTCATCTGCTAGAAGACAGAAAACCAAAATTAGACTTCACTTCTCACCTGAAGGGGATTTCATTATTCGACTGCTGCTGGAGATAATTACAAGGGATCCAACATACCTGCGGGCAGTCTGTTGGAGGGGTTGTGAACACCGCCCCCTGCTCCCACTCCAGCCCCACCCGCACCTCCGTTAGCCACTCTGGCTGCTTGAGAGCCTGAAAGGAAAACACACTATCAGACACTTCGCTTGGGTTTTAGCATATCTGTTTGTGTTTGATCCAAGTGGGAGGCCGGACGCACCGTCAGCTGCGATGACGTCCACCCGGAGCCTGAGACACTCTTGGCCATGATGGTGCAAAGGTTTGGCTGCAGGGAAAAGAGATACAGCAACACAGGCATTAACACCCAGACTAATGCACTTATCTCCCCTCCTAATCCACCTTCATGCTTGCTTGCATGCACACACACACACGCAAGCACGCACACACACTCTTGGCAACAGAAAAGCACAGGCACAAAGCCTTAGGAGGCCATCTGTGACCGGGCAAAGTGTGTCTCGTCCCGCCGTTTATCTCATCACAACCATGGTCAGGGTGACAACACTGCACAAGACAAACGCGTAACTAGAGCAAGTGTAAAAAGCTGAAACTCCAGCTCCTAGTTCGGGGGGGGGGGGGGGGGGGGGATTTCAGCCATGCAATCGTCTTGTTTGGCAGATTACGATCAGCAAATCGTTTGGAGACGGTGAAATCAGAGGGAGCAGATCTTTTCCTGTGTGAGATCCATCAAAAGTAACGCCTCTGCAGATACAATAGCATGTTTATGTTTATGTTTATTTATTTGGCAGATGCTTTTATCCAAAGCGACTTACAATTTAAAACCTATAGGGCAAGTTGTGATCTGTGGGGGAAACCGGAGTTCCCGGAGGAAACCCACGCATGCATGGGGAGAACACGCAACTCCACGCTGTGGCAGCCGAGTTTCGAACCTGCAACCTTCGTGCTGCGAGGCAACAGTGCTAACCGCTGCGCCACCATGTTAACACAGATCATGTGTGTGTGGAAGCTGAACTTATTGTCAAGGTTAGGTCTCAGGCTCTAATAACCCAACGTGTCACCATCTTTCCCTTTAAATTATTAGAGCTGTTAAAAATGATGGTTTGTTTGCACTTTTTGCAGCTTCGAGGTGGAGAAGTTTCACTTTTCTACATTAGATAAAAAGTATTTGGAATGCAAAACACTTGGATGGGTTTTCCGTTTGCAGCGGGAGTGTGCACCTCCCTTCAGATGTAGACTAACTTATCAAATTTGGCCCAAAACACACAAAACTAACAAAACGGAGTCAGCGGTAGAGTCGTGCTTCTGTTAGCCAATCAGAGGAGAGACGTCAGAATATCAGGAAATAAGTCTCCAAATCTAACTGTTTGCTGCTCCCCACTCCACGGGCTGACTCCTAGTTCCTGAAACAGGAGCGCCAGAGCCTTTTTATCCACAGAGATCGAGGTATTCATTTATACTAGAGATCACCGCAACTCTGTTAAAAAAAAACTGGTGAACTCTGTCTTTAAATAAACAACCTGGTGGTTTTTACAGACAAATCTTCAAAAAGCTACCCATTAACTGTTCTTAACATCTTTATGCCGCTTCAAAAGACTAATCTGTAAGCTATGGCAACACTTACATATATAATAGTAGCTTTCTCCTTGACGAAACTCCTTTCCAAAAGTAAACGGAGTAAAACGCTGGAACTTTTCAGAGAACTTCTCTGGAGCGTGAGGGGCGAATGGATGACCGCACTCCCAGCGCATCTGGTCGTATGACTGGGGCTTGCAGGAATCGTAGTCCTCTCGTTCCACCATGTAGAGCACGTACCGCTCTGCGTCCAGCAGCGGCACCTCACCCTGGGGGTAATGGGGACACACAATGTCCAGGTAGTCGTTGAGCTTCACCTCCACGGCGTAGTCGTCCCTTAGAAACCTGTGGAGGGAGGGGGAGACAAACAGGGGTTACGAAAGTGGCAGGAGACCGATAAGGACGGCTATAGCATTGGAGCAGTGATAAATATAAACCTCAAAACCTGTGATTATATATTGATCGGCCGCACACCAGATGTACAACAGGGAAATCAGAGGAAGGCCTGAGTGAGGACAAAGGAGTGTGTGTGTGTGTTTGTGAAGAAACGAGCGAGTTCAAGTGGAATTAAGAGAAAGAAAGTGATCTGCAACGAACGCGCACATAAATATGGATCCGCGTGAAACTAGAGTAGCTTTTCTGTTGTGGTAAGAATTGGTAATGATTGATTCAACGTCCTCCAGGAGCTGAGAGATGTTTACAGAGAAACATTAGCAGTCCGTTAGCCCGTCAAGACGAGAGATTAGTATTGACATCTGCAAGGCTGCACGCAAACACTCCCACAGACACCAGCATCTGACTGCATAACGAGCGAAGACACACCTGATTTTATCAGGAAGAGGAACGAATATAGAACCATAAACGTCGCTTATGTTTTTAACCTATTCATCACACACACACACACACACACACACACACACACACACACACAAGTGGTGAAAGGCTGCAACCGTCTTCCATAGCATTCCCTCTCATTACAGATACGGAGACAGACTGTCTGCCATTCCTCACTGCATCCCTCCCTTCACTCCTCCACCCTCTTTAGCTTTTTTTTTTTTTGTAAAAACAAAATAAAAATCTGGAATTTTAGCCTGCTTCACATCAGATTACAACAAGAGAACTTCTTAAATTTAGCAGAAAAAAAATGTGGAAATAGAAAAGTAGCTACTTAATTTAATGGTCTAACCCTAACCTAACCTAAATAAATAACTAATAAATCAACTTTCAAAACATTTAAACAAAGGTCGAATGGACAAAAAATGTGCGGGTTACTTAAAAATAGAATTACATTAAATTAAGGAATAAGCCTTCTAAATATTTGATTCAGTAGTAATTTTTTGGTGTACCTGAAATGTCTCAGTAATAGTAGAAATGCACTGATTCTGCTTTCGAGGGCCAATACCGACGCCCGATTCTTATGCAGCTCTGATCTGCGAGCGACTTCTTTGGCTGATTAATCTCAAACCACAACAACCAAAAAACAATTTCTCACCCAAGTTTCTGATTTATTTGAAAAAAAAAAACCCATTCAAATAGAGGAAATGATATTGCTAGAATTAATTAGCATTTACGGATGGCTAGTTCACAGACTTGTCTCTTAGAAATGGTGCATTTATGGACTCTTTTTTTTGTTGTTAAATCTGATTTGACATTTTAACTGGCCGATCATGCAGAATATTGTCCGATTTCAATCACAAGCTAATTTTTTGAAGCATTTCTAAATAAAGCCAAGTTTTTAATCTTAATTACAAAAGCAGAGAATTGCTCTAAATTCAACAATCCGCAAACTCTTAATTTCCCTCTGGGATTAATAAAGTATTTTTGAATTAGAACTTTTCTCCCCCCTTCTTCTCAGGTTTGCCCTCAGAGACATGAGCTTATCTCCAGGGGAATTGTCACCGAAGGCATTTCGGCTTTGCCTCCTTCTTCTCCGACTGAGCGAGCGCTCCAGGGGAGGCTCACGGCTAATGCTCTCTTCACAGCCAAAGCCATCTATCACCAGCCTGGAGCGGAAGCTGACCGCTCTTAACACACAAACTCACACACACTTCACACTAATTCCCATCTATCAACAACCTAAAGCTGCAGCTACCTACTATTTACACCCATCGAACCCACGCAGACACACTTTTGGTCCCATGGTGCAACGCTCCCAAGCGATGCGTATCAGTTTACCGTCTCCCACTGTTCTGAAGCATTGTGTAGGGGGAGGGGGGGGGACTACCTATGGACGGCTGAGATCTGACATACTTAAATATTTTTACAGCACACAAGAAGAATGTGTGCAATATAGAGTTTTGTTGCCTTTGCAATGAATATGTGTGGCTACTGCAAGCTTTCAACGAGTCAAAAAACACAAAACAGGCGGGCAACCACCAGAGCTCCGGATCTCGTTTGAGTTATGACTCTCAAAAGTCTTTGGGGCGTTAAAGCGACGCTTTTACTACCGAGGGAGATTTTTCACAATCAATTCTGGCATTTTCTCATAAACCCCTCCTCCTTGTAACAAGCTGCATTTGGTGGAGCTTCAGTGACGGGGTCCATATGTGTGACTGACAATCAAAGTGGCCAGGCACCAGTCGCTCATTAGTCAGCGGTGCTTGTTGCTTTAGGTCTCCCCGTTACCCCCTGGTAGCAGGACAGACGTAGTGGCTCCAAACTCCAGGCCCCGAGTCCTGGCTCCCTCTTTTGGCCCCCCCCCATCGTTTGACTCGTCTCTGCCTGACTGCTGATGCCCAGATCAGCCCGTAACACCATTACAACTCCAGCAGCTTTTCTGATGGAACCCCATCTAGTTAATTATGACGTGCAACGGCCAACTTTTTAAGAGAGAACAACATTTATCACTTTGTGATGCTCCAGAAGTGTTTATTCTTTTCTAGATTGGGGCTTAAATGTGCCCCCCCCCCCCTTCCTCCTGCAAATGCACAAACTAGTCCCACACCCCGAGTCCTGACTACAAACTGCTTGTGATATGGTTCCGATGTGTTCATCAAAAGAGGGTTGAAGGGGGGTGCAATTAAAGCACAAAAAAGGATATTAAAGTTGCCCTGGAGGGGGGTAATTATGCCCTCCTGCTCCCCACTTCCCAGCCCATTTAGGGTGTTCGTCTGAAAGGGGGAGACGGGGGATGTGAATGGGAGTGGGCGAGGCGGGTCAAAGGGCTCCGGTTGGGAATGGCTTTTGAAGTTTCTCACAGTGAGAGTTTCTGTTGCAGCGTCAGCCGCCACAGATTCATACAGCGTCGCTATTCACGGCGTGATGGAAGAGCTCGCTCGGCAGAGGGAACAGTGGCCGACTGCGCGCCGGGGGGAGGCTGCCTAACATCGTTTATTAACGGCAAATAGTTTTAATTATCCTGCTGCCTTTTGTTCCCCTCCAACGCCGCAGCATTGAAACGCTCCACATCATCAGCTTAATTAACCGATTGGAGCGACTCCCTTCAAAGAGAGCTTTGGCGTCGGTGTTAAAAAGTTAAGCCAACAAAGTGAAATCCTGCCACTTTCGCTTTCACGGCCTCCCTTTCAGCGCGTGTCCCTCCTGCCAGACTGTTTTCCCTTTGCTGTGCTAATGCGCCGCATTGATTTATTCCCATTGTTTATGCCAGGATGCTTCCTATTAATCACGCTCGGAGCTCTTCTGTGAATGTCGCAGCACGGAGGGGCGAGTTGTGTTCTCTTTTTACGGATGATTTGCAGGATCCAGGCACGCAGCACACATTGTTCAGGATGTGTGTGTCTGTCTCAGCCTGATACGTTTAAGTGTGAGGCTGTTTATGTCTGAGTGTGTGTGCGGGTGTGTTGCCTCTCCAGAGCTCGGAGGAATTTGGGAGTGCGCTTCAGTTGCGATAAAGCAGATAATGAATGCCAATAACGAAAAGAGATGATAGCAGAGACAGAATGTCAAGTGGTCAGATGCGAGCCTGCAATCTGGTGAAAAATACGCTAAGGGCCGTATCCGCTTCCTCCTTTTCCAAGAAGGAATTCCTAATTTATTGGAGGCTCTTCAGGAGCAGGAGTCTAATCTCTCGCCTTTTATCTTTCTGGTCCACAGTTTTCCTTGCTTCTGAACTTCTATCCCCTCCTTTCATCCATCCATCACCCTCTCATCTCTGTGCGCCGTCACTCTGTGGAATGCTGGACCTTGGAAGACCAAAAAGGCCACGGTGTGGATCAAGGGCCGGACATTCGCAAAGTCAGCACCTTGGAATTTTACTCATCCGTGGATTTGAAACTCTCAAATTGTCCTTATTTATTTATTTATTTACTTCCCAAGATCTTTTTTTTTTCTTATACTCAAACCACAAGCCATGAAAAACTAGGCTGCAAACACGCCCTGGCTCTGACCCAGCACCCGACTAGCCTATGGTACGGGTGAGTAGCTAAACCAAAATGCGGGGGATTGTCTAATCGGTTCATCCAAGCCAGGATTACTGGGTGGAGCACAGTTGGTGCTGGGGTTCATTCATCGGCACCGGACCCTGGTTAACACAAAGGCTTAGAGAGGACAGCGAGGGGCTGGTGGCTGGGGACAGAGTGAGGTTGAGACAGGCAGGGTGGAGCTGTCTCTTCTTCTATTGTCCTCATGTGAAGAGAGGTATTACTCCTGTAGGCTAGTTTTGGAGTTCAAAGGAAATGCAGGGGACAGCATTTGGGTGTGTGAGCACCAAAATGAAGACAGATTAATACAAATATTAAACAAGGAAGCAGTCGAACGTATTTCAGTGAACACTACTTGGCGCTTCTTAGGACAGTCCATGTTTAATGTTGTTCAAACTCTTCTTGTAGCATCCATCCATCTTTTCATCCATCACTGTCAGCTATCGCCTCCCACTCTCTGTCCGTCTTTCATCGCTCAATAAGCAAACCAGATCCTCGAGTCAACCCCGTCCCTCCCCCTCCCACCTCGGGCTCACTGAACCAATCACAACCTGTCCTGGTGGTATTCCAAGTATGCCGCCCTCCGTGACCCACCGATTGCAGAGCCAAGCACAATGTGATGTGGGTCGTCATAGAAACAAATGTGGTCCAACTTTTCAGCTCTTTAAAAAAACCAAAACAAAACACAATATCCCAAGCTTCGTTCTTTGCCCCGTGTGACTTTTTGTCATCCGTCTCAATCAGCTTTCTCCCGTTTGCCATTCAGCCTTTGTCTGTCTGGATCATTGGTCATTCCTGCGGAGTTTCTGGTTCAACTGGTCAAGTTGCTTTAGGTAAAAAAAAAAGTGACGAAAAAGTCCAACAGAGAAATAATTGGCTGATGTATCTGCAATAAAGAAGGTTTAGATGACTATATATGCTCTTTATTGTCTAGTGCTCTTCCTGAATCCATTGTGGATCTTATGAACTCTCAGAAGGCGCTTAATTAACCGATTGGGAAGGCGCTTTATAAATAAAGCTTTGATTGATTGATAAAAGACCATGAGCAGAAACGTCAGCACTGACATTATATTTCTCACATGCACCTGAAATGGGATTCTGTGAAAAAAGTCACAAACACAATATTCCTGATGTCCTCATATCTTGTGTAGAGGTCTTGTCTCAATTTGAAGATATTAAATTTGGACTCATAAGGCTGATAAGTGAATAGCTAGCCCGAGTGAGGCCTGTCCTAAACAACTCTAGCTTAAAACTCTCACTGTGGTTAATAGCTTTGGCTTTATTCTCCCAAACCCCAACCCTAGCCCCAACCCTCAGAGTAAATAATATCTTTGTAAGGGACACCTTTATTATCGGCATCAAACGTTTCAAGAAACAACAGAAAAAAGGACATAAAGTAACACAATAGCCCCTATTTACACAACAAAACCCACACAATAGGGGCATTTCACAGATAATATCTAACTGCTGCTGGCTCATTCTTCCATATTCAAACACATGTACAATGTTTGTTCATGGAGTCACCAGCCTCGATAAACAAGTCTGGCTCTACGTTTTGACGATGCAACGCATAACCGAGCTTTTCTTCCTCTGCGATTTCTTATAAATCAGACTAAAGTAGTAAGGAGCAAGGGGAAGTCTGTTACGTAGATAAGGAAGAGGGACCAGGATGGCGATATGGTAAGGAAACACTGGTGGGGATGACTGGGGCAAACACTGATCAGCAGTGAATCCAAACAAGGACAGTTGGGAAATTTGTCAGCAGGGCAGACATGGACGCCGGATCTAAAAATCATCCTTGAGGCGCCGCATTGGAACATATCTGTCAAAAAGACACAATAACTCACGTTTAATCTCTATATTCTCACCCTATAAACATTTCTCGTGAAGCCTGGGAAGTTTAATCAACCCCAGCGTCCAAGACTTCTATGGCCTCGCGTGTGTTGGTGTGTGAGAAACGTATTGTTTATTGTGCAGACAGGATATGCAGTTTTCCCGGGAAAAGACGCTAACAGGAAGTGCAGCACTTTGGAGGAGGCGCGCAGCGGGCAGCTTACAGACTCGCAACAACCTGCCTGCAGGAAGTTCAAACCTTTGGACCAATTTATGATGTAGTACAGTCAATAAACCAAGCCCTGCTATCCCTGACACGGCAAAAAAACGAGTGGGAATCATGTTAAGTGTATAAGGACAGCAACTTCTGACTGTTGAACAGGTATTTAACACCTGCTTGATGATTTTACTGAGCTCTTTTTTTAGATTGAATTTACCAGGCAGATTACAAGGCCAGATTAGGAGTCAGCAAGAGGGGAGAGTGGAGGCAGACAATTCCAGACAACGATGGATTGACTTAGGAATTTTCTGAGCGGAACACTGACCGAAGGGGGAGGGTATGGGGCCGGACTGGGAAGAAAAAAAAGGGAAAACCTGGATGTTTTTTCTATAGAAGAAGCTCAGGTTCAGGTTTAGAAAATCACAGCTTGCTTTTATTGCACCCATCTAAATCACACCCACTAAAGTGACTGCACAATCTTATCTTTCATCTCTTAAGACGCGAACGCGAGCGCACGCACACAAGGCAAACAAACACTTCTGTCTACACTCCATTTGTTTTTCCTTTTGGTATAATTTCTCTCTTTGCCTCGAGACCGGCTCTGCTGCTTCAGAAAAGCACTCAAAACAACATACATTCCCCCCCCCCCCCCAACCCAAAAAAACCCTCAAGTGGCTTTATCTACAACAGTACGAAGGAAATTTGAAAGGAAAGAGCAAAGGGGAAGAAAAGTGCATAAGAAAGGGGCAAAGTGACGGATCGCCGTGGGTGCCAAGAACGCAAAAAAATTCCACACCTCTTGGCATGCTTCCCTTTTTTCCCTCCCTTCTCTGAGAACCAGAGCTGAAGGTGAAGAAGTAATAGACTGAAAAGGGACAGCTTGTAAAGTTGAGATAAAAGCCAACGAAGGAGACAAGAGGTCCAAAAAGACAGGAGGAGGAGGCGGTGATGGTGGGGTAATGAGAATTTTCCAGAGGCAGAACGACGAATGTGTGAAGAGGAGCTGGCCTGAGTGGCAGCGAGTATTCAGGGACCACCGCCGCGTCAGAATGACTGACAGATTGATAGAGGCTATGCCACTTCATCACATTGTGAACTCTGACCCCTGATCAGTCACACCAGTTACTATTCTCTTTCTGTGGCCCACTGTGAAGACCATTCCCCCAATTTGTATGGGGCGCATCACAAAAAAGCCCCAATGACTGGATAAATACCAAGAAAAGCCTTCATGTGGATGATACATACCATAAATACCTCCAGTTTACCAACACTGCACATTTTGAGCTCAAGGGAATTAAATCGAGAGTCTGAACTGTTGGAATTAAAAAAAAGTGTTAAAAATGTAATGCCTGATCTCAAGTAACCCCCAATTGGGGGACAAAAATTCCAGCCATCCATATGAACTTTATTACAGCAGTAAGGACAAGCATACACACAGCATTAATCTTTTAACCATCAGCAGAACTTCCTCTGAACTCTACACTACACCTCTATATATATTAACAGTGCTGCCACCTAGTATTCAGTTCAGCACAAAACATTTACAATGTTTCATGTCCATTTACACTTCATCAAAAGCATGTATACCAATATTTACACATCCCAACAAATACCACAATGGGTACTTTTATAATGAGACCAAAGTAATTAAATAGGCCTTGTGGTTACAGAAATATACTCAATAAAGTGTGGGTAAGTCACTTGTGTCTCACTAACATAATTTTTAATACAAAAAAAATGCTTGGAGGAAAATTGTTTGGAACGACTAAAACGCGATTAATCAAGATTAATTACAAAGCCTCTGATTAATTTCATTATTTTTAATCGAGTCCCATCACTAGTTTAAACAGATCAGATCCAAAAATGGAGAGAATGAAAGAACAGGAGGCATGAAACAGTTAAAAAAAAGAGCCACGTTAGGAAAGCTGGCCAAGGAGGGAGGAGGGAGGTGGTGGAGAGAGGGGCAGACAGGTACAAAGCACAAGAGGAGGAGGGGTGAAGGTTGTGGTCTACTCCTGCTCTGCCAGCAGGGAAAGGGAAAAGGAAAAGGGAAGAAATAAGCAGATTATTGCTTCACATTTGGAAGTTTTAGGGTGCACGTGTGCATGACTGGCTTTAACGTGTGAATTAGTCACAAGCGTGAGTAAGCACAAAGACACTCCTTTTCACTAAAATCACATCGAACTGAGCAGAGAGGAAGTACCGGCGCACCACTTTCTGGAAACCAAAGATTTGTTGGTGATTAAACTTCAGCTAATCGAAAACAAAAAAGAAGTCATGAAACACAAACATGGGTTTCACGCACACGGCAGTGACGTGGTCGTTAAAGTCCTAGCACACACTACAAGTCAGCAGACCCCCAAGGTGAGATCACGCACACTCACGGGGAAAGTGTTGCTGAATCCCTCAAATGAACAAGCTAAGAAAGAGGAAATGAGCCTGATCCACGTGGGCCAAAGTGATCAATCTGAGACTGGTTTGATTAACGAGTCAGAGGAGAGCAATAAACCTGGAGCAGAAAGAGGAAGAGGCACACACCACATGGGAAATGATAGCCGTAAACACACTCGATCAGGTGACGGGTCAAAGGGTCTGGAGATGATGAGAACACACAGAATGAAAACATTTCTGATGTTTTTATTTTCCAGTGAATACAGGATTAAGTCCAGCCAAAGAGAGATTTGGCACGGTCATCTGGAAGTGCAAAACGACAGATTACCAGTTTACACACAAGCATGACTATTGTTGGTGCTCAACGCAACAAGCTTCCCCATCTGGGAATCTTAACTTTACTCTGATTTTCAGAAAAAGGAGCTTTCCTTCTGTAATTATGAGATTTGAGACCATTAAACCATGCAGTTTTAGCCTCTGTTGGGATGAAGACTGGGGCGAGGAGGGGGAAGAAAGGTCTCTTGTGGGAGAACATTTGCAGAGAGAGCGTGATTGATTTAGACATCGTCAGTTGGTGTGATGGAGTGATACTCTGCCAAGGAGTCTGTTTGCACTTGCCCGTCCATGTGGGTGTGTTGGTGTGTGCAAACCTGACCTCTTTCATACCCCGAGCTGTTCTCACCCCAGACATCATCAACCATAATTCTAATTGACCCCCACTTATTCCGAATGGCCCCTAACCCTGACTATTTCAGCTCCAATTTCTCCTCCCAGAGCAATCCATCTCTCCCCCACGTAGCGTGACCTACTGGGCAGGCTTCGTGTTACCTCCTCTGTCTCTGTCGTGCACCATTATTACTCGTCTCAACCCTTGAAATATGAACAGACTTTTGCTTTCACGACAGCCACGTAGAACTTCCATATGACGCTTCTTGATTTAAGAGATGCAGCAAACTCAAACCATCACAGGGCTCCTGGTCAGATAGGGAGGATATTGCAACAGATATTTCAACAGATTCAGCCGAGCCAAGTCTATAAATGCAGAAAATATGCACTTAATCCTAACAGGATGCACATGATGAATGGAAAAACTTTTTTTGGCGCATACAAGTGCATCAAAGATGAAAAATCTGCAAAACATGCACTTTTTCTGCAGAACTATGTGTAAAAACCGGATGCAACTAATTGTGCAGCACATGTAAACACAGATTGCAAAAAGAGGATTAAATCTGATCAAGTTGAGCCAATGAATTGCAGGTAAACAGTCCCATAATAACGGGGGAGGGAGTAAAGGGGGGGAGGGAGAAAAGGCTCCCAACCAAGTGTCTCACATTATCATGTCAACAAGAGCAGCTGCTTTCATCTCTAACTCATCACAGCAACCTTAATTATTCATGCATGCACATCAAATCTGGAGGGGAAAATAACTTCAACATTTGCTTTTCTTAGAAACGAGGCATAAATAAAGACAGATATTTACTTGGGGTTGGAGCTGTTCCAGTAGACGCTGTGTCGCTCCGCTGACGCAAACCAGGCGCAGACGCTCACAACGAAGCCCACAATCCAAATTATATCCATGATCCAGAGAAGTGGAGGCGCGCAGAGCCGAGGAACGCTGCTCAGGCAGGTTGTGCGTAAAAGAAAAGAATGAAGGTAAAAAAAAAAAAAGTTGGACTAAAGTGCGCCTCGCCCGGGCACCTAAAGTCCGCGTGCGTGATTGCAGACGCACAGGAAGGAGAGGTTTGATTTGTGGTCACGTTTAGAATAAAAACGCAGGAGTGGACTAATGAAGTCGACAAAATCCGTAGTGAATGAGAAGGGAAGCGGCGTGGAGGCTGGTTTTGACAAACACTCGCAATATTAAGTCACGCCCATTTGTTTTGAGTAACCAACCAGAGGGCGGTGCGAAGAAAAGCAGCTTCTCCGTGTTTCTTTTGCAGTAATTTGGTATTTAAAATGATTTTAATACAATATCTGCGTCTTGTGTCAAATATATATATATATTTTAAAATACATGAAATTTGGTCGTTTATGCAGCATGCAAAAAAAAAATCAGATTTTATAATTATATCAAATTTAATAAGTGATTATTCTATATCTTGAACTATAGTTTAACAATAGTTTTAAATACCGTTTTGGCACAAATAATAAATCATTATTTATAGAGTTTTCTTTTTAGAATTTTGGGGAAATGTCAAGATTTAGCATTTTTCAACAAACCTATGGGAATATTTATAATTTATTTGTATAAGGAAACAAAGAAAATGCTAATATGAATCAACTGTATTTTTATGCTATGTTACTTCACAATAAAAGCCAGATATGAATCTGTCCAAACTGATGTTTTTCCCCGAAAATCCTGTCGATCACTGGGACGCACCGCCCACGCTTCAGTACTGGTTCAGCAACATCTGGTGTGTGTTCGCAGAGATTTCTTTAACTTGAGGTCTATTTTGGTCCCACAGGTTTTCTGACTCTTCCTTTTACTGGCAGAGACAGTTATAGTGTCTTCAGTGTAGTTTCTTCTGTTTTCTGGAAAACCTTTGTCCTATATATTAATATTTTTATTACACAACCCCCCCAAATATTTAGTCTTTTCAAATAAAAAAGAATTACATCACCCTGGTTTTCTGCACCACTAACGTGAACAATCTTGACTTGGAGCTGCTTGTTCAGTGAAGTGTTTCATTTTGCCAAAGGGATGTTTTCAAGTCTGTTCCAAAAATGTTTATTTTTTAACGCAACCTGCTTGGCTGCATAACTGTTGCAGAGTAAATCACATGAACATAAAGTTCAAATAATTTTGGTTAATTTTACCAATGCACACAGCATAGGTGTGTCTCCATTTCACCAGGCCGGCCCACGTTCCACTCTATTTCAGGGACAAACCGAGTACCTGAACTGGGCTATGTACTTGGAAATCGCCTGGTAGAGATTATGGGCGGGACTTGTAGATAACTCATGCTGATTGGTTGTAACTCTGTAGGAATAAACATCAGCAGACTTCACCAAATAACCGGCATTTGTAAAATTGGAAGATTTGTTACTGAAGCAGAAAGGAATTGAAAAGGAAAGAAGCAGCTTTGATGCTGATTTAAAATCACTGTTTCTAAACTCCAATGCCAAAAAATAATTTATGTTACGTTGTGGTCTCCTACTAGCCTAGAAATCTAGACAAACCACCGCAGTAGCAAAAAGACTTTGCTCTGCAGGTCGGTCTAGCTACCATCCATTGTAGTGACTCGTTAAAAGAAGCCGTTGGTTCGAGAGCCATTTACCTCAAAGAGCTTTTTAAAAGACTACCTCTTTTGAATGAAGCAGAGCAAACTTTGTCTGAGCGGCATGTCCCGCAGATGTCTGTGGGGGGGGGGGGGGGGGGGGTGATGTGTCTTGCAGATGTTTGGGGGGGTGGTTGATGTGTTCCGCCAATGTCCGTGAGGGGGGTGATGTGTTCCACTGGTGTCAGTGAGGGGGCGGGGCTACGTGTCCCGTCGATGTCCGTAAGGGGGCGGGGTGACATGTCCCACCGATGTCCGTGAGGGGGCAAGGTGATGTGTCTTGCCAATGTCTGTGGTGGGGTGATGTGTTCCACTGGTGTCAGTGAGGGGGCAGGGCTACGTGTCCCGTCGATGTCCGTAAGGGGGGGGGGACAAGTCCTGCTGATGTCCGTGAGGGGGCGAGGTGATGTGTCCTGCCAATGTTTGTGAGGGGGTGTGATGTGTTCCGCCAACGTCCGTGAAGGGGGGTGATGTGTTCCACCGCTGTCAGTGAGGGGGCGGGGCTAGTGTCCCGTCAATGTCCGTGAGGGGGCGGGGTGACATGTCCCGCCGATGTCTGTGAGGGGGCAAGGTGATGTGTCTTGCCAATGTCTTTGGTGGGGTGATGTGTTCCACTGGTGTCAGTGAGGGGGCGGGGCTACATGTCCCGTCGATGTCCGTAAGGGGGTGAGGTGACATGTCCTGCCAGTGTTTGTGAGGGGGGGGTGATGTGTTCCACCGATGTCAGTGAGGGGGCGAGGCTACGTGTTGCGTCAATGTCCATAAGGGGGCGGGGTGACATGTCCCGCCGATGTCTGTGAGGGGGCGAGGTGATGTGTCTTGCTAATGTCTGTGATGGGGGGATGTGTTCACCGATGTCCGTGAGGGAGGGGGTGATGTGTTCACTGATGTCTGTAAAGGGGGGATGATGTGTCTTGTTGATGTCCATGAGAGGGCGGGGCAACGTGTCTCGCCAATGTCTGTAAAAATGTGTGTGGCGGTGTTAAGCATTCTGACAATGTCTGTGAAGGGGGGGGGGGGGATGTCACTTAGGAAACAAGATGAACGATTCTCTACAAGGGCTCGACTCTTTTCGTTCACTTTGATGAGGTGTTCAAAAGATTGGATTCCTTCATGAACGTTACATCACTAATTGTAGCCTCTGCCAATCACAGAGCTCTACGTTTGTTGGGAGGGCTTTGCACTTGAACTACGATGGAGAAAATACTACAAAGATGGCGTTGGCTCAGGAGTGGTGCTCGTTTGAAATGACTTTGGCATCAACTTTGTACGATTCAGACTGGAGCTTTTTTTTGACACGTGAACAGATAGAGGTACTTAAGTCCTTCATTATTAAAAAGAATGTATTTGCTTCTTCTTGGACGGTGTCTGACACTGTTCGTTGCTCAGTTGGTCCGAGCACTGTGTACAGAGACAGTTTGAAGACAAACGTAGATTCAGCCTCACCACTGGATTGTTTCAATGGCTTATGGCCAGACTATCACAGTGCTGTAAAAACTGTGATTCTCCATTGAACGCTGCTTTTATGACACAAAACTGCTCTCCCTATTCCCCGAAGAGATAAAATTAAGGCATATTTTGACAGAATAAAACCTTTATACTATCACAAATGTTTGTGGACGCCTTTAGGTAGGATCAGTGACATCACTCACTGCTGAAATGGTCACAACATCCTAACGTCTTAGAAAAGTGAAACATTTTCACTTTTATTGATAGTTTGTCACATTGCAGTTAATTTAGACTCATGCTTTTTCATTAATTCCCTTTTTTTAAGTAAAAATTTCCCGACTCAAGAGAAGTCCTTTTCACACTGCACGCAATGCATTCCATGTTCAGTGGTTACGAGTATTCACACTGAAGGCAATCTGCATTTTGAAGCTGGCCAACCATTTCAGATCAAACAGTGCAAACACAGAAAGGCATATATGCTTGGTAATTGTTTGCCATTCTGTGTCAAGCAGGTCATCCAAAAAGAATGTGTTTGGTATTCATGAAGAGAGCACTCACGCTGATGGATCCATTTTTTTAAAGAATCCAATTGTTTTTTCTGGCCATGTAGGAAGATAAGAGGCTGAGAAGGACTGCCGGCATAATTGTCATTTGCATTGCAATCCCAATCTGCAGCGAGAAAAGCTTCTACCGCACCAACGTTTATGTCAAAACTCCATCAGGAGCAAATTGAGAGAAAGCTACACTTAATTTTCTGAATGAGTAAACAGTTAAAGCGGAAGGAAACGACAGCAAAACCCAGAATTATGATTGTCTCCTTACACCGTGTACAATTTACAAACACACACCAAAGAAAACCAATGTACACACACACACACACACACACACACACACACACACACACACACACACACACACACACACACACACACACACACACACACACACACACAACCACAAATACAACCTTTTCACCTCAATTCCTGGCAGATTTTGCACCAAGTCCTGTCCGCAGCCTGGAAATAAGATGCATGAAAATGAGAGGAACAAACACTTCATGTAGGCATGGGAACATGACAGTCCATAATTTAGAGTTTTTTCAACCGTTTCAACCAAAGTAATTAGGTGATGTCATAGAAATGCACTTTCTGCTTTTCTGAAAAAAAAAAAAAAATAAAACAAGTGGACTCCTTTTCCCTCCACCCTAACATTTTGCATTAAATAACCATCGTTACAGGCAACATTTTCAGGAACATATCCTGGGATATTATTCCAGCTTGATGCATGATTTGGATTGAAAGATATCAAATTGTAAATATTGTTTGTGAAAGGGGGAGATAATGTGTGTGCGTGTGTGTGTGTGTGTGTGTGTGTGTGTGTGTGTGTGTGTGTGTGTGTGTGCGCGCGCGAACATGTTTGATTGTGTAAGTATCATGTCTCACAAAACAATGGTTTATTAACCATTTGAGTCAATCCAATTCAAGATGGCCGCCACTGCCAATTCCCTTTAGAAGACAAAAAAATGACTGTAACTTGTTCAGTTTTACAGATACTAAGGTAGAAGTTAATGATATAATAGCTAAAAGTAATCTCCAACATATTCTTTCACCACTACGTATAAAGATTAATCGTGAGTAGAAATCGTAAGCATGCTACACGCTAGCATTGGCATCAACCAATCTGCCCGTAGTTTAACTCTTGATCCCATGTCTTGGGCCGTTTGTGCCTTTTACAGTGGGATGTGTCTTTGCTACTTTCTGTGGGGCGACAGTGGCACAGGAGTTATGAGCTCGCCCCATAATCGGAAGGTTGCAGGTTCGAGTCCCGCTCAGTCTGTCGCTGTCGTAGTGTCCTTGGGCAAGACACTTAACCCACGTTGCCTGCTGGTGGTGGTTGGAGGGACCGGTGGCGCCAGTGCTCGGCAGCCTCGCCTCTGTCAGTGCGCCCCAGGGCAGCTATGGCTGCATCGTAGCTCATCCCCACCAGTGTGTGAATGTGTGTGTGAATGGGTGAATAAAGCGCTTTGGAGTTCTTACTCTGAGAGGTGCTATACAAGTGCCGGTCATTTATCATTTCTCTATTTCCCTCCACGGCACTTA